ACTATTATATAATTATGAATTATAATTTTTTTTATTGATTATAAAATTAATGTGTGTGCGTAAAAGGATGATTTGATTTTTTCTGAATAAAATATGATTCTGAATAAGATATGAATTACTTACTATCCAACCAAATATTTTCTGAATAAAATATGATTCTGAATAAGATATGAACTACTTACTATCCAACAAAATATTTAATTCTTCATTTTCCGCCTCATTTTTCGATTGTTTAGTATTGTCAGTCATACTAGTATGAATATAAATGTAATATTTAGACCAATTTCACACAATTCTCTTGGGTCGGCAGTCAGCAACAGTGACGAGTAAAGGCACAACTCCAAATTAACATTGGAGACCTCGCGCGGTGACGATGCAAAACTCCGGCTTCATGGTTATTGGCAGAGAGAAACCTGAGAGGGGCCACGCCGCCATTTTTCCTGTAAGATTCACTTTGTATATTTTTAACTTTATATATTTTTAATTCTATGTATGTATCCAACGGTCATTTTAAGGGCAGGCTTTATAACGAAAACATGACTTCCTCAAAACGAAAGATGGAATGCAATTTTTTTGTGAGGGTGGGGATATCTTCAAAAGACACCGGAAAGCCCGTTCTCCCCGGTAGTGTCGGATTCTTACCGACTAAAAACCCCTTCTCTACTTCGTGCAATATGATAGGTGCTCCGGGAACTGCAAAAGCATTACACCGGAAGCGGAATGTTTCATAACATGAATGTATAGCAATATTCTGTTCCATGTTATGGAACAGAATATTGCTGTACATCCATGTTATGGAACAGAATTATAATATGGAACAGAATATTACTATCCATACATTATTTTAAGGGCATGTCTTCGTAACGAAAACATGACTTCCTCAAAACGAAAGATGGAATGCAATTTTTTTGTGAGGGTGGGGATATCTTCAAAAGACACCGGAAAGCCCGTTCTCCCCGGTAGTGTCGGATTCTTACCGACTAAAAACCCCTTCTCTACTTCGTGCAATATGATAGGTGCTCCGGGAACTGCAAAAGCATTACACCGGAGGCGGAATGTTTCATAACATGAATGTATAGTTCCATAACATGGAACAGAATATTGCTGTACATCCATGTTATGGAACAGAATTATAACATGAAACAGAATATTACTATCCATACATTATTTTAAGCGCATGTCTTCGTAACGAAAACATGACCTCCTCAAAATGAAAGTTGGAATGTAATATTCCGTTCTAATATTCCTCTGTTCCGTAACAGAGAATTAAAATTACAATCCACATTATGGAACAGAATTATAACATAAAACAAAATTTTCTATCCATTAATTATTTGAAGAACATGTCTTGACGAAAACGTGACTTCTTTAAAATAAATTTATCATTTTAAAGTCAATATGTTATATATAGTCAATATTATTTTGCTAATAATAATCTCTCTAAATAAATATAATAAAATTTGTGCATCAACTTAATTTGCAAAGGAGCTATAATTGAAATGAAGACATTATTACAATAGAATAAAATATATTTAGAAAGATTGCCAAATGATATTTTTAATAACATTTTATCTTGTAACGTAGGACATATGTCCAAAAAAGTGAAAATTTTTTAACAAATTGATATATATGTATAT